TGTCCCCCCCCACCCACCCCACCCACCCAGCACTGGGGTCTGGTCCCCAGGGAAAGCCCTGGCTCTCTTCTCCTGCCACCCACATTCCTGGGCTGCTTTCTGAGAGGCTTGGCAGGGAGCAGTGAAGGGGTCTCATCCTGAGAGAAGCCCTGCCTGTGTTCCCCACTTACCCCAGGGTCCAAATTATGGGGTATGTGGCAGGCCAGTAAGGGGTGCTCCTGCGCTAAGCCACCCACCTCACTGCACCCAAACAAAAACCATGCTTCAAGTGTCTCCCCTGGGGTGCCTACATCTGGCTGACCCCCTTCCAGGAGCCCACTTGCAAGCCTGGAGTAACCATGGCCACCACCCGGGGTCTGGTCTTTGTTAGGGGTCTGTGCCCCCAGGGTATACAGACCCTGTAGACCTTGAGAGTGCTTAACCCACCATGGGCTTTTGGGGTGCTTCTATTAGCTTAAAGCATTCACAAGCAACCTCCAATACAGGAGGACAGTAAAAAGCCATGCCCACCTTAGCTAGCCGACCCAAGGGAGCTATAACATCATCAGTGTAAATCATCAGTGATTTGGATGAGGGGGTGCAAAGCACCCTGTTCAAGTTTGCTGATGACACTAAGATGTGGGGGGATGTGGGCACAACTGAGGGGAGCAACAGGCTACAGTTGGACCTAGACAGGTTACAAGGATGGGCGGAGGAGAATAGGATGGGGTTTAACACAGACAAGTGTAAGGTGATGCACCTGGGGAGGAACAATCGGCACCATACATACAGGCTGGGGAACTCCCCTCTTGTCAGCACGGAGGTGGAAAAGGATCTGGGAGTCATTATTGACTCCAAGATGAACATGAGTCGGCAATGTGGGGAGGCGGCTAGGAAGGCCAACTGCACCTTGTCGTGCATCCACAGATGCATCTCGAGCAGGTCCAAGGAGGTGATCCTCCCCCTCTATGCGGCACTGGTCAGGCCGCAGCTGGAGTACTGCGTCCAGTTCTGGGCGCCGCACTTTAAGAGGGATGTGGACAGCATCGAGAGGGTCCAGAGGAGGGCCACTCGTATGATCAAGGGACAGCAGGGTAGGTCCTATGAGGAAAGGTTGCGGGACCTGAACCTGTTCAGCCTTCAAAAGAGAAGGCTGAGGGGGGATCTTGTGGCCTGTTATAAACTGGTTAGGGGGGATCAGCAGGCGCTGGGGGAGTCCCTGTTCCCCCGAGCGCCGCAAGGAGTGACCAGGAACAATGGTCACAAGCTGGAGGAGGGAAGGTTTAAGTTGGAGATCACGAGGCGCTACTTCACGGTCAGGGTGGCTAGGGTCTGGAACCAGCTTCCAAGTGAGGTGGTGCAGGCTCCCACCCTGGGGGTTTTTAAGAGGAGGTTGGATGACCACTTTACTGGGGTCATTTGACCCCAGTACTCTTTCCTGCCATGGCAGGGGGTCGGACTAGATGATCTGCTCAGGTCCCTTCCGACCCTAGACACTATGAAACAACTGTCTGACCCCTCTCCCCACAGGAATCCACAGTGAGCTCACTGCATGCAGGTATCCTTTTATTGTTCAGGGAGAGAGAATGGGGGAGCAAAGAGATTTTAGAGAAAAATGCCTTGAGCAAAATAGAAGGGGTTTAAAGACACTTTGAATACAGAACTAAAATACATATCCCTAATATGCTAGCTAACTTTCAGGTAAGTTATTCACTTATACATCCAGAGCCTGATTGAGCTCGCTCTGGAGGCCTCAGCGTGGTTCTGTGTTTCCCAAAATTGTTTGCCCCCCGCAAAATGGGGTGGTCCCTTATTCAACTTATTCTTTTTTTCACATTTGTAAATGCCACAAGGAAGTAGGTAAAGGCAAGGAGAGAAAGAAGAGCAACAGAAGCAGATGACAGCTCTTGTGGCCGTAGCTGGTTGATGGGAGCAGATTGGCTGCGTTCAGGCTACTGCACTCAACATGCTGGACTCAAAAAGGATCAGCATTTCCCTGTCTCCCTGCACAGCACTGGACATTTCTTATGGGGCCTCAGACCTGGTCCTCTTTTCTTTTTTAACTTTAGGGAGATGTTCTTGATCAAATGAAAAAGCAACATTATTGGATCTCTCCTCCTCTTCATTCTGATTTTTGCTTTTTAATGACTTTTTTTTTCCTGGTTTTCATTTTGCTCGGTCACTTTGAAAGGTTCTGGTCAAGCTGAGCTGGGTTCAGCCATTGTTTTGGGGTTTTTTTGTGATTTTTCTCGGCCCACTGCTTTTGTTCTCTGGACTTGTGGTTCAGGAAAGAGCTTTTGTGAGAACTCTGTGGGCGTCCTTTGCAGCCCCGCTGAGAAACTTGTTCAGCATGTAGTATGTGGTTCCAAATAAAATCCCTCCAGATACCAGAGAACCAGCACCTGGGATGAAATGCAAAACCTCTACAACTACCATGACTGAAAGATATGCATAACTTTTCAGCAGACTCGTTACATATTCTTTGTTTATGGAGCTGGCTGTTGGAACCATTTTTATCTCTGACTTCAGCTCTTCAACAGGCTTGCCAACCTGCTGAGTGAGACTGCAGAGGGCATCCTCATCCAAGCCAAAAGCCTGGCAGTAATGTTTCATGTTTACCATCAGTCTGGTTATATCAACAGCAAAAGAGAGACCTGGGAGAGGAACAGCTGAAATGGCCCGTAACACCAGAGCCTCTTTCCATATTTGCCTCTCCAGTTCAGCCCTCTTCTTTTCCAGGATCTGTGCTGAAATGTTAGGCAGGGCAAGAATGAAGATTTGTCTCTTGTGTTCATCCATCTCTTTTTCGAGTATCTTCAGAAGCAGCTGGAAATCATACTTGGCTGGTTTCCAGCTGGAGATCAGGAAAACCCATGGAGAAGGCCCACCGGCCTTTTTCAGGTTCTTGTTACAGTTGTTGCGGATCTCCTCCAGGATCCCCTCTTCGTTGTAGGTTCTGGGTCTGCACTTCTCAGCTGCATCCAAGTCAGCATCCACTTTGGAGCGCACATAATAAAACTTCTTCCCCAGCTTCTGAATTTCCTTGGTGAGTTGGGTGTGGTGGGCACCGAACCGGCTGGCAGTGATGATGATGTCGTATTTTTTAGAAACTCATCTGCTTTAGGTATTGGTCTGGTTTGAACCTGGGAGTTCCAATACCTGGAAGGTCCCATATGGTTACATTTGGGAGGGTGGGGTGTGAATAAGGCTCTAGGTCCATTGTTGTTTCCACTACCCAGGTCTCAGTAGCACCTGCATCTTCATCCCCCAGTCCCCGGATGGCATTGACAGAGGTTGATTTTCTAGACCCTGCTTCCCCAGTGCTGGTGATGTGAAGTGGGATCTTCTCTGTCTCCAGCTCTTGCAATTTCTTTGCTACAGCTTTGAGGTTTCCTCCTTCAAAGATAGCTTTCATTTCTTCTATTTCAGCCTGGGAGAACTTCATGAATACTTTGTCATCTTCAGTAGCCACGGCAGCCTGCATGAATAGCTGTATCAGCCTGTGCTAGATGTCTTACAAAAGAAAAAAAAAATATTCATATGACTTCCTCATACTTCAGGGCAACCATTCATGTGGCAGACTGTGATTTCTTTGGGGGATTTAATAATATAATCTGCAGCCAAATGTGGTTTCAATTAAGTTTAAGAAAGACTGGCTGTCCTGCCTGTAAACCTGATTTCCCCATGTCCTTAACTAGCAAGGCATTAAGTCATTACAAATTCTTAGGTTTTGGGCTCTTAATGGCTTTGCTAAGATAACTAAAGTAAAACTAACATGTTCCAAACCCTTCAGCCACCAGTTAAATACTAGTTTCCTTACAGCAATAAATACCAAAAAATGTCCAGTCTGAGAGAGCTCAGTTCATCTTGCTTTAGTGTGCTGGGAAGCTCTGAAGACACTTGAGACACCCCGGCTGCCTAACCGGGTCTATTCCACAAGCCCCCCACCCCTGAAGTGTTCTTTTATTACCATGCAGAGTGTGAAAGCTGGCTCAGAAAAGGGGTTTGTGCACAGGCAGTGCTCACTAGGAAGGGATAGGGATTTGCACTTAATGGACAACACCCTAACCAAGCTGGTAAACTAGAAAATGAGCTGCAGTAACTGCTGCTTTAAAAACTACCCACTGGGTGCATCTACATAAAATGCTAACTGCGCAGTAGCCTAATAACCCTGCTCAGTAGCATACAGGGCAACACCTATTTTAATGTACTGCCATGTAGCTTTATTAAGCTACTGTGCAGGAAGTGTCAGTAAAAACCTGTACACCCATGCTCCTGTGCAGTAGCTCAGTTACTGTGCATTGATTTAGTATTTAGTTATCCAACTACTAAACTTACCGTGCAGTACCTACAGCACATTAATGAGCATGTAGACACACTCACTGAGAGCAATACAATGGGTTGTATATTAAACACATTTAACTATCAGGTGAGTTTCTGACATTATAACAACTCTGTCCAGCCCAAGGAATAAACTGTTCAGTCAGGGGAAAGTAATGTTTCTAGGAAGGAGGTGAGAGCAAACTTGGGGGGAAAAAGAGGAAGGCAGGAACACCTGGCCACAGTCTTTGGGGGAAGAGGATTAGCAAGAGGAGATGCTGTGGATTGCGGGGGCTGTGGTGGGACTGAGACAAGCTGCTTTGGAGAGCTGGGGACAGTGGGTGTGCTGTGGGAGGATGGTGGTGCTCTGCAGAGCTGGACAAGATGAAATTTTGTGGGAGCTGGAGGTGCTCCAGGGAGCTGTTTCTGTTGGCATGGAGGAAAGTGTACTCTAAATATCTGGGGCATGGGGTGTCCCAGGGCATAAGCAGTACTGAGGCGAAGTGGAGGGAGGTGGTCAGGATCCCTTGGCTTTAGTTTAGGTGGTGTGTGGGCGAAGGGAAGGAAGTGCTCTTGAGAGCTGTGGTATGCCATCTGTGAGGGTACCAGTGTGCCTGGGGCATGAACGACTGGTGCCTCTCAAGACTGGGGGGGGGCACAATTTGTGGGCAGCAGCAGCAATGGCAGGGTAAATGGCAATCACCTGCAGAAGCCAGTGGCAACCAATCTTGGGGGGGGGGGGCATATGCCCCACCCCCATGTGCCCCTTCTACAAGTGGCCTATGCCTGGGGGAGCAGGGCATGGGCTATGTGGCAGTGTATAAGTAGGTGGTCTTGATATAAGGGGTGCCAGAAGTCAGGAGCACTGGGGAGGGAGAATGAAGACACGTTTAGGGAACCGGGTGTCTGGAAGCTGCATGCAGAAGTTGGGCAGAGACCCCTGGTGGTCCAAAGGAAGTTCTGGGTGCTGATGAGAGAGCTTTCTTGACAGCAGGGAGCAGTGTGTGAGCAGAAAAAGAGATGCAGGCCTGGAGATTTGAGATGGGAGGGCGTGATGGGCGTTTGTCATTTGCAAGAGGACAGACAATTCAGGGAGCAGGAGGTGTGGGAGTTGGGGGAACTGGAACAGTGCAGGTAGGGGAGGGTTTGCCCAGCCCCAAAGTCTGATGTCAGGCAAAGAGTCACCTCTGCTGTCCTTTGCCAGCAGGAGCACTGGGAGACAGGTTGGAGTGAGATGGGAAGTGAAACACAAATCCAGGAAATTACACCTTGGGAGAGATCCCTTCTGCCACTTCCCTAATCCGTAGCAAAGAAAAGCCTGGCACCACAGAGTCCTTCCAGCAAGTCTGACTATGGTGTTGCCACATTTTCTTCCTCAGCTGGGTTTCTGCCATTTGGGATCCACGGCCTGTGTGCCCGCAGCCTCAGCAAACAGCAACTGCTCCAGGAAAGTCAGCACAGCCTGAGCAAAGAGGGTCTCTTACCTTTACTGGGGAGGCCTCTGCTGGGAAGTGTGTTGATCCTGAGCCCCTCTTCTAACTCCTTTCTTTGTCTTAGGTGCAGCAAAAATGCAAGCCCCTCTGCTTCTCCCTCAGCCCCTTTGTTGCTGCTTGTGACCAGAGCACCAGCTGACTAAGATGGAAAGTGAAAGCAGCAAAATGAAGGAAGGGTAGTATTTGTGCCAAGGAGCTGCTGGTTTAGGGATGGGTTAAAACAAATCCCAGTGCTCCATCAGATGCTTCTTGCACCATCTCCTGTCTGAACAAATCCCGCATCTCCCCACAGAAACTCCAGCATAAGCACCAAGGTGCAGTGAGGCCAACATCGGTAAACTAAGGGGGAGGCAGAAGGCAGGGCAGGGCAGGGGGGGCCCTTGGAGACTAAGTGGTTCAGAGGCATACTCTTTTCCAGGCAACAACACCCTTTGTCAGCTGCTGGGGAAGGCAGGGGCAGAGGGTGTAAAGGGTAGCCACAGTGCTCATTGAGAAAAACGTGGTCATGGCCACCATCTGGAAAACCCCATGGCCAGCAGAGTTTGGGGGTGTCTGCTCCAAGCATAAACAGTTTCCAATCTAGCCTGTGCAGCCACAGCTACATAGTTGCCACTTCTCCAAGCTGCCCTGCCAAAATCTCCTGTTGCCTGATGCTGCCAAAACCTCCTGCCCCTGCTACAAAAGCTCCCTGAATTCATGGGCTGGGTGTAGAGAATGACAGATATACATTTGGTCTGTGTAACTTTAACTCATTTGTCTTGCAACTCTGGTTTAGGACTCAGTTTTCAATTAGAAGTTTACATGTTCTATTTTTTCCCAGTGCCTCTTCCTCATCTGATGAAGAGATCACCCCTAAGTTTATTGAATCCGTCATATTTACACTGAATAAAAAGTTTTTGTTGTCATTCTAAATATATAAATATTGTTTTCTTTTTGTTCCCTGGCTTATGTACATATACTTACTATTCATTCCCCACCCTGATTTTGATTTTCTTATTGCTAAAATTTTAGTGGGAGCAAGCAGGGCCAGGGGATTTTTGCAGTTGAGGCATTTTGGAAGCTCCTCATGCAGTCATGTTGGTCTCTTGCCATTCTTCTTGTGCTTCCATTGTGTCGGGATGATTTCTTGTTGGGCTTCTGATACTGTGCCCCTTAGAAGCTCCCAGCCTTCCTGAGTACCTTTATCCTTTAATCTATCCTCCCATAACACCATGTCTATTAGCTCTTTGAGTCAGATGAAATCTACCTTTTTTGAAATCTAGCAACCTAATTTTGCTGACCTCATGCTTTACCTGTCTCGGAATCTGGAATTCTGTTGCATCCCAATTGCTTCCTCCCAAATTACTCATCACCTACACATCCTCCACCAGCTCATTCCTGTTGATCAGGACAAGATCCAAGATTGATGATCCCCTAGTTGTATCCTCCACTTTCTGAAAAAAAAAGTTGTCTTCCACACAAGTTAGGAATGGACTTGACATTTTGTTTGGCTGCATTGTTCTTCCAGATGTCCAGAAAATTGAAGTCTTTCATCAGTACCATCCCACAGCTTTTGGATGGATTTGTCACCTGCTTGAAGAGTGCCTTATCCACCTCCTCTTCCTGATTAGGTGGCCTAGAATCCCACCATTATATCAGTGCTGCATCTTTAACCTTTCATCTTCACCCAAATATTTTCTGCTTTTCTGTCATCTTCTTCCTGAACCAGGAAACAAATGTATGTGTTTTTGATACACAATGTAACACCACCACCTGTTCTCCCAACCCTGTTCTTCTGAAACAGAGTGTAACCCTCCATGGTCACATTCCAGCCATAAGAGCTGTCCCACCAGGTCCCAGAGATGCCAATCAGATCATAGTTCTTTTCACAGGCTGCAGCTTCCAGCTCATCTTGTTTATTCCCCATGCAGGCAGTCCTCGACTTACAACGTTTTGAGTTACAACATTTTGCACTTACAACGTTTATAAACCAACACCCTGTTTCAACTTTCTGACGTCAGTTTCAACTTTACAACACTTGATATGATGTGATGCCATGACAGTGAACAAGTTTGCTGCATCACTCATCTCCCTGGAGATCATCTGTCCACACTTCCTTGGACCCTTTTTTTAAAGCCAAGACTCCACAAAAACCTACAGCCAAGACTCCCGAGAAGACTCCAGCCA